AAAATTTACCAGACAGGATGCCTGTGACTCTTGTCTGGATTACCTAAAACCTAAAATTACACAAGATATTAGTAGTTGAACAAGTTCTACCAAGAAACTCAACTCCAGAAATTCCATTGTTTTTGGATATTTCTGTTGGACTGAAATCAATTGTATGTACACATATTGGACCATGACTTTGATGATTGATGATTTTTTTTTTCTCAAATGTATTTGTTTTCCCCTGGTCATAAGAGTTAATGTGACAGTTCTGGATATTGAGAGTCAAGTGAAGAAGACGTTTTCAAAGGCATTTATTTCAAGGTGTCAAGCCCCGGGAGGTGAACCATTATTGAACAAGGCAAAGCACAAACAGCTCAGGGCAGTAATTTCAAGCAAAGTGCTTTCCTTGATTCTGAGGAAAAACAATTGAATCTGGAGGGAATTCTTCATCACAGAAATATTGAGCTTTTATTCTTGGAAATATTTACTGATTTTCTGCACATTGTGAGGGTAATGATAAATTACCAGCAGCTGTCGGGGTCAAAATTTAATTTATGTAGATATGACAAAGTCATTGTGACGTAAACTTTCATCTGCTTTTTCATTGACACTTATAGTCATGTTGAGTGGCTGTAAACAGGAGGGTAAACAAACAGCCATTGGCTTGTCTCCAAACATGTTTGAATCACTCTTGTTGTAACATTTTCTTTTGAGGAGATTAATTTCCTGTGGGAGCCCTACATCCAGCCAGGAGTCATTATTTTTCATAAAGATTACTTTGTATTATTTCTGAGGGCAGCTGACGCAGTTTATGAGATCTTAAGCATCTGTTAGACCTGAATGTACCTGAACCTCAGCCATTTATACCTGTCATCATGCGTTTATTTTTAGATCCAAACATCTGAAGTAACTGAGTCGCTGTGTGTTGTGACAAAGGCCGAGATATCTGAGCTGAAAGAAGCTCAGGGAGAAGTGGAGGCGCTATTTGTCTCTCCGAGCCTGAGGCTTCAGCGCGGCGAGAGTGGAGGCAGGTAGAGGAGGGACTGCAGGTACAGTTTATGATGAGGGATGATCTGTCAGGAAGGCGTGAGAGTAAATGTCTCAGAAATCAGAGGGCAGAGACCGACTGACTGAGCCGAACTGCAGTAAACATGTCAAAGGGATGCCGTCAAATCTGCTAAATGCTTTTTTATTAGGGCTGTCAGAATTATCACCACCGTCACAAAGAACCTGGAGACAATATAACTACAACATCCAAACACTGTAATGTAATAAACCATTGACATCAACAGGATAATTCAGAACTCTGCTTAACATAAACAAAACACATTAAATCATAGAATTTGAGAAAATGAGTAGGTTGGATGCTTTTTAAAAAAAAAATTATATAAATATGTATGTAAGAGTTCTAAAGTGTTGTTTGCTGCAAAAATACATATAATCCAAATGACAGAAAAAACAAATTGACACTATTGTGTAAAAAGCTATTGTGCAGGGAACAGAAAATACTGTAGGTGAATACACAATAACTTACGTCAAAAGATGTGTCACAGAGCCAGCTACGTACAAAGTACAAAGTACTCGCTGGCCTCGGTGTTAGCGGCTCCCATCTCTCACTGAGTCAAGCCTCCCACATTGGGTCTCTGTGCTTTTTCCTGACGCATTTATTTAGTTCAACATGGACCCAAATGATGTAAAAGCCTCTTGTGGTTTCTGATCCAAACTACGGCTAAGCCTGCTAAATGGACACCACGGGGCTTCAGGCTGTGTTGTCTGCAAGGTTATTATCATCATCAAGTCCAATGGAACAGTGTGGGCAGCTTTGACTTGGTTGAATCGTGAGTCACTTTACCGTAGCATTTGTCTCTGAAAATCAACATTAGGAAAAGATGTTTGTGTATTTTTAGTTTTGGGGTTATCAATTAATTTTTATTCATGCATTTTAGCCACACTAAGAGGATAACACAGAAATTCTTGCTTCATTGAAAGTTGTGTTTTAAAAAGAACACCCAAAAGATTAGGTTTGTCTTATCACCATTTTTTCAGACCCTGGATATTTAAATCTGTGTACTTGCCAGAGCCAAGTACCTGTTCAGTAAATATGCATTAAACTGGATTGAAGTGTTAGCCAAATGTCACAGCACTGTGAAGGAACTAGAGTATTGAGAGCTAAATCCAGACCACACCGAGAAAACCAGGCAGGGAAATGAAAAGAAACAATTCTAAAATTCTATTCTAAAATAGCATAAATAAAAATAATATAAAAAAGATAAATAAAATTAAACTGTTTGCACAGTTAACACAGCCAACTGAACAGAACGCGTACAGAACTTTCACACCAGTAGCATGTACAGTTAAAATCTCTGGTCTCCTGCTTGAAAAACCGTGTTGTTGTTTCTACTTCTTTTGCAGAATCTGACTAACTGCAGACATTTTTCTTTTACTGAGCTCTACTATGAAAAAGACATAATAACACCAGGTTAAGTGCAGTAGAACTACAGTAGAAATGGGTGCTCAGGGTAAAGCGGTATGTACTGTAAACATCACATTTACAACTGCTAATGGCCACATGGGGAGTGAATGCAACATAAGTAGGGTGCATTAAACACATAATTAGCATGAATTTACATACAAATAAACCTATATTAGCATATGTGACAACAGCGCTGAATGGAAAAAAACAGTCTATCTGCTGGTTATCACATTAATTATACTTTGTTTTTGACTGACATTTCACTCTAACCCTTGGTGAACTGACTCATGTTTTTTCCCATCTCTAACCAAACTCGAGAGGTTACATTATCACGTAAGATGAAATAAGAGATGAACCTTACCAGGTCTTTTTGAAAGATTCGCTCAGATATTTTTTTTTCAATCAATGACAGTCCTTGAGTCCCATTTTTATTTCCCGTTCATAAATAATTATAGTAGCAGAGAGCACTCTGATTTTCCTTTAAAAGCCTTTCGATTTAATCGGAGCCTTGGTAAATGAATGTCCTGTGGTTTATCCAGTTGAAGTGGGAATTGCATTAGCTGACTTTCTCCTGACCACAGTTGGAGGAATGAGTATGAAAGTCATTGAGGGTTGAGGGCAGAAGTCGAGAGTTTCTATCGGCAGACCAATGTTTTAGCTCTTTTCTGTTGTGACAAGCAGCTGAATAGATTATCTTTTAAAGCCCTCTCATCCTAGCAGAATATAAAGTGCATTTGAATTGAATATATGGGCAGAGCGGTGAGTCTTTCCATCACGTCCATCATGTCCCCTGCTGATCCAGCACACATCAGTAAAGATCTGCATTATCTATTGTGGGCCAAATGTTGTAGGTTATATTTCCATTTCTTTGTGTTCTTTAAATTATTTTAATAAAAAACAATTTATAAAAATAAAAAATATATATTATTTTTAATTCAGACTGAGCTTGAGTAAGACCAGTTGACCGTTACATTTTTTTATTATTATTTGTCAACTTTGTGAGGGCAGAGGGTTTGTCTTGTTCGGGGATTGCAGATTCAAATTTCAGGTGTCTGATAGACAGAGTCCTTCATTAAAAAAGGACTGAATACATGTCTGTCAGACACAAAAGATATTTCCCCTGTTGACACTTCCTGATTCAGCCAGCTTCCATTCATCATGTTTTTTAGGCTGAATTTCCACCATACAAAAGAAAAAAAATGTAATATGCTTTTAACCATGTTCATTCACATATAATGGCAGTTCACGGCAAACAACAGAAGGTGATGCAGTTACTTTTAATTTTCTTTTTTTTTTTTTGGTTGTGATGATTTTTGAAGGAGACCTGCTAAAATTCCAGGTTTCCTTTAATTCTGTGTTTTGGTAATTCATTGTTTACACATAATACATACATATATACATATATACATGTAAGAGAATAAATATAGTGTAGATTTCTACTGTTTCCCCTTTTGTATGAACTTCATTCTACATCTCAGTCAAAAAGTTCAAATGTTGAGTTGAAATTGAAATGAGTCACTATCTGTAAAATGCAAATGTGAACAGATATATCTGTGCCAGGATCAGACCAAGATCACCTGCTGTTCTATGAAGCTGAAAACTGTGTGGAAAGTTGAGGCCAAACATTGACTACGCACAGTTTGAAACCACACACGTGAAAACCTTACACGTACAGTCTAGCATTAAATTGAAATATGGTGTTCTAAAACACACACAAAAAACATCTAGAGATTTCATTGACATTTCATAAACTAGTCAGTCTCCCCCCATTTTTGGACAGTCCCTGTGCATATTTTTATTTGCATTACTGCCACCTACTGTCACTCTGCTGGACATTAACAGCTGGGAATCTCAGCAAACTAAGGTTCCCAGCTAATAAACACATAACCATCTAAGCTAATGACATTTCATAGCACTTTTTTACGTGAAACATTTCTTTTTAATTGTTGTTTTTTATCCAGCATTCTTTTTCCAAAATGACTAAGCCTAAAAACCTCTTATGTAAACTCAATTTTGAGTGATTGACATGAATGTCAAAACATTTTTTGTGTTAGTCATTTAACGCACTATGTTAATTACCCATTCAAAGCCTCCATTTTGTCTAATTTATTGTCCATTACCACTGGCTCTCCCTCCTTAATTTACACACATTTCCTTTTGAAACAAACAGTAATGTCTGGCCGCTGTTTTTCAGCTGGAGTCCTGCATGTCTCTGTGGGCGATACATGCCAGCAGCAGCTTTCCTTCACAATGACAGGGGGAGCAAATTGTTCTTACCCACATTCTATACACATAGTGTATTGATAAACATTCATAAAATGTATCGGTGAAATTCCCGGTAAAATCAGCTATTAACAATTTATCATATCCAACAGGGAGAGTCAGATATTTCTGCTCCTGTATATTGTGTTCAGTCAACTCCGTTATTATTATTGTTGCCTTCCTCCCCTGCAACAAACTTGATCTCAGCGTTGGCGGTCCTCGAAGCCATGCTGCTGTCCCTGACTTTGTGTTTGAACAGAAAGGGGAAGGTTTTCCTGAAGGACTTCTGAAAGCTGGCTCCCATGAAGCCGTAAACTATGGGATTGACTGAGGAGTTGGCGTAAGACATGCAGTTGGCCCACGTCTTGATCTTGTAGGTGACGTAGTTGGGTTGGTATTTGGGATGAAAGGACTGAAAGAGGACAAAGATCTGGATGGGGCCCCAGCAGATAGCAAAGAGGAGGACGATCACAACTACCATTTTGGACACTTTGCTCCGGATACTTATGGTTCTTTCAGACAGGAGGTTGACCTAAGGGCAATTAAGAAAAGAGAATGTTGGTTAAAAGCTGTCATGTTGTCGTTTGAATACTAATTAATGATGCCTTCTGGCCTTTTTTAAGCATGACCAGTATATAATAAAGGAACAAACGGCAATACTGCACATTTTTAATATTTAACATTTAAAAAAAAAAAAATGTAATTCCTGGCATATCAAGGTGGCCTGAGTTGCCCAGTACTGCAGCCATTAGGGCTGCAATCAGTCCCTGTCAACAAATTTAATTAAAGTTTAAAATTTAATTTCCATTTAAATTTAAATAGGTTTAGTTTAATGGTTTTACTAGGCTATATAGCCCTAGGTAATGCTAGCAATGCTAATGTCTAAGGGAGAGTTTGTGGATGTCATAATAGGACCTGGAACTAAATTTCATGTTTGTTACTATTTTAGAAGGATAACATATATAAACCCTGTTCAATTTCAAACTGAAACTTGATGTTTTTATATAAACTTGCTTTTGCTTTTTTTTTTTTTTTTTACAGTCCGGAAAAAGCAGGAAAACTAGAATGTGAAGAGACCTGGTAGTTGTTGTCCATGGGCTCCACGGTGGGCTGCCCGACCCTCTTCACCATCAGGCTGTAGCAGAAGGAGATGGTGAGGACAGGCAGCAGGTAGGCAGCAATGAACTGGTAGAGGATGAAAGCTCTTTCATGCATTTTAGAGGGAAATCTCTCCATGCAGTATTGTCGCGGGCCATACCAGTATCCTTCCTCTATACGCTGGTACATTAAAATCGGCGTAGACAGGATGAAGGAGCCTGGAATGGACAAGGACTGTGTTACAAATCAATTCTTTTTTCTTTTTTTTTCATGAGTAAAAATGACAATGTTTTGAGCAGAACCGACCGATCCAAATGCAGACGCTGACAATCATGGCTACCCTGGGCGTTCGGTGCCGAAGAGATTTCAGAGGGTACACCGTGACATAACAGCGGTCTCCACTCATGGCAGTCAGAGTGATGCAGGTAGCCTGGACTGTCACCTTTGAATGACAGAGACACAAACCATTATATTTAACAGGGTGATTTGAATAACTCAGAGTTCAGGAGTTTTAGATTAAATGAAATGAAATGAAACTTCAAAAGTTTTCTACATATTGATTTGGATGTTTGGTGGATTAAATGTTTACGTGGTCAAAAAAACAAAATAAAACCCTTCAGGATTTACTGCTGTCAATACAAGTTTTCTACATATTGATTTGGATCCTTCAGGATTTACTGCTGTCAATACAATACAAACATCATGTTTCATATGACAAAAATGTATGTATGTATCACCAACCTCTGACATGAGTCTTCGATCATTACTGTGACAAGGCCAAGACACACCGTGAAGCCTACACTGGTAGACTGATGGCTTTACTCAAGTTTAATGTAGCCATAATTTTCCCTGGTACCATTGATGTACGACTCAGCGTCTAATGACACTTTTCAGAAGCTGTCGCATTTGATGAAAGATGGTTAAAAATATGTTTTTCTCACACTGTTGAAAGATTTTTCAAAGGCTGGAACTCTGACAAGTTACAGAGAAAAGCAGCAGCTCTCCTGCCAAAGACTCGTTTCTCTTGCCAACACCTTCATGTCTACTCCAGACATAACAGTTCAGTTAAGGCATTACAATGTCTTCTTAAGATTTACTTGGTGTCTTTGTTATCCACAATTTTTGATGGTATTAAATGTATCACCTTAATTAAAAAATACATTCATGTCTTTGTTGTCCTGGGGAGACCTGTTTTATTACACAGGATTCCACTAATCACCCTTTTGGCTATTAACAAGAAAACCCAGCCAAGCAAAGGCTCAAAGGAGGAGAAAGGAAACTGCATTCACGATAAGTATTTTCTAATTAGCTTGAAAGCAAATGATTCAAATTAATTCTAATAGAGTTCATTAATGCTTGATTCAATGAAACACCAGCACGTCAGCAGAATTTAAGGCCGGAATTAAGAAATGCACAATTCATTTCAGTAGGGAAAAAAACATATACACGTTACGGTCAGTCTGGTTATCATGTAAGTCTGATGAATCTCATTTCAATGCAGATGCGGTTTTTATTAGAAAGTTATATACTTAAACAAGTTAAAGAAAATTCAAATCTGTACTTGAATACCTGACAAACTAAATTCTATCTGTTAAACAAAAACAGAAATCTCTCTGTTCTCTCTGTTCAGTTATACCATGATGCTAAGAAGAACAAGTAAGTCACTCACTAATACACAGTACATCTATATATTTAACCACACATACTGTACATTGATTATATGTGGGTGAAGTCACTGACTCACTACACACTGCAGTGATGTCAGAAGTTCCATATGGATTCATATGGGATCCTTTTTTTTCTCTTTTATTCTGTAATAACACGTCTCTTTCACTTTTCTCCTCCTCTTACCTGTCACTGAAAAGGCAGAACCTATTATGCTTCAGGGAAACAAGGCTCACCATCAAAGTTTCAAAGGATATGATAAGAAAAGGGGTCAGAATGCGGTCAGTGGTGAGAACACTGACAAAAAGGTTCTTCGCTCACTCAGACACCTGTCACCGTCTTATTGTTATTATTATTATTATTATCATTATCATTATCATTATTGGGCACTGTAAATGGACCATGGATAATGGACCTGTGATGTCCAGGGTCTACCTCGACCTCGTCTGACGACTGATGGTTGTTGCTGAAACGTATTGGGCAGAAGATCCTGAATGAACAGATTAATAATGATGAGACAGCCAAGGATCCACATGTCCACATCCGTCATAGTCCACTGCACAATTTGTCTGCGGCTTGCTGGTAAATTTTCACATTTCCTTCTTCTCCTTTGTCCACCCCTCCCTTCATCATCTTAGTCTGACTCAACTGTGTACATACTGCGTCTAATCTGTAATCAAGCCAGCATACAAGCTTCTCCCTGTGAGATTGTCCTTGGTGTCTGCAGGCAGGGTTTGGAGCAAAAAGTTGACCTTTTCTGACTCTGACCTGCCCACCCTGGGTGTTACCTGATGATTTTCTCAGATTTCTGTCCATGTTCATGACCCAGCACTCACCTGCTGGTAATTCTTTCCACTGCTTCAAGCTAAACCTGTTTCTCAATGAAATCCCTGTAGTTTTGTTGAGAATCAAGTGAAAAAAAAATGGCATGGCCTAATTTGTTTTGATGACAGCTAATATAAATCATTTAAGGACACAAAACAGTTTTGTTAAAGATAATTTTCCATGTGCTTGGTGCTCTGTACATTTACGTTTTTTATGTTTATATATATATATATATATATACCGCCTTTACCAAATCTTAAACTGACATCTTATTTGTGCTTTAAAATCTTCTTCTAACAAAATAAATTAAAGTGCTAACACAAATAAATCAGTGGAGAAAATCCATAACAAGAGCTTTGAGATGCTTAAAAAATTACTAAAGGTTTCACAAACCACAAAACTATTGCCTAGGACAGCTTTAATTCCAACCCAACATCCCACAAAGGCGACCGAACTGAATGATCCTTCTGCTCCCATTACATCCCTTCTTCTTGGTAAATGCCAGACTACACACATGTACCTTTGCATTTCTCCTGTTCCCTAATTGTGCAATTCTGACTCAAAAACACACCTCACCTGTTTTGCATTACCTGTACAGCTCACAGGGTACAGGGTTATGAATCATTCATGATCTGTGTGATGGAGATTTAATTTGTACTTGCCACCCTGTTCCTGCTCTCACCTAACACTGGCTCTTCTGAAGAAAAAAAAAACGCCTTCCATCCTTTGCACATATTATATAACGTTTTAGTAAATGTCTAAAATCTCTGAAGATAAAGCAAGTAACCTTGCACTTTAAACCTACAAATATTGTAATTTGCAGGCTTCCTGAACCATACAAGTATTTGTAAGAGATTCAACACAGATGTTTTTTTTTTTTACAAACTGTTTTCCAAGCTATATAAAAAGTAAGGTTTTAATATAGACAGGAGATAGTTTAAGTTATGTATGGTTTTGCTGTTGTCTAAGGGGAAGGAGGCAATATTTATTGTATTATTATCGTATTATTATAAACAATGCTTTTATTTTGTTGACTTCCACAACTACTGGTAGAGAACAGGAAGTAGTTTGAGGTTACATGAGATGAATACAGTAATTTGGACAGTGGCGCCAAATTGTGTCTTTTCATTCCTTCGGAGTTATATAAAGGTCATATATATATATATATATATATATTTATAGTTGCCCGTAATGCTTTCATTTCTGACTAAGAGAACCACCAGTAAGAGCCAACTTCTTAACCGTTAAAATATCATAATTTCCATAATTCCAGTAAGACCGTTAAAATATCATAATTTCCATAATGTCACTTTTTGCAGCAACCAGTTGGAGCTTTTTTGGCAGGTGCAGTGTGCTAAGAATTAAAAGGTTCAAAAGGTGTCTGTGTTCATATTATTCAACTGAATCACATCTCCATCATTTCTATTCAGAAAATGTTTTATTCTCTGCCCATGTGGCAGAACGATCTTTTATGCTCAAATGAGCCTTGTATGTCTCTACGTCATCTTACATTCAGCTACTTTCTAAAGCCTGGAAGGATAACCTCCTCTCTATTATCAATGATATCATAATCATGGTTTTACCTGTTGTAGAAATGCAACAAATTTGCACATGAAGTTTCCGAAGATCCATCCAGGAAGTGGATACAAGGTGGCAGTGAAGGGGACGCAGCACACCAAGAAGATGATGTCAGTGGCCGCCAGATTTGCTGTAAGAAACAAACACACACAAACATATAGTAAACACACTCAGAGTAGTGTTTGACCAAATGGGTGTCATAAAAATTGCTACAATGTTTTTCCATCAGAAAAGGCTTGTTTTTTTATTTTTTCTGTCCAGTGTTCTGCCTCACTTTGATAATGTACTGTTGATCTGATGTTTGACTGACAACGGGTGAGTGGAACTCCTGCACGGTGCCACACAAACGTGTTTTAATTTTTAAACTCAACACAATTCTGTCAGCCAGTGACTTATTATTACAAATAGACATTCAAAACCAAATTTTGTAATCTCTGGTTTGTGCTGTAAACCAGAGATTTCCGTCACCACGATTCTCAGACGTTGTTTTTTCCTTTTTCTCCATTTAATCATAGTCCTGGCAAGTGCACTGTTTCCTGTGTGACTGAGCTGCTGATAATAATGTTACGGTAGCTGCAGCTTTTTTTAAACACATAAGCAGATGGTGCAGATGTTCAGCTAGTATTGCAGTAAATAAGAAGTGTCATTTCTCTGGCCCTGAGACGTCATCAAGGATGAAACTCCTGTCAGGAGATGAATCCACCATTCACATGCATGCCCCGCATCATAGGACATTTTAAAAGGAGACATGTAATCCACAGTCCACATCCTACCCACTCTGAAGCACATTTGGAATTCTCCTCGGATGACAGCTGGAGTCAAAGCTCCATCAGATGCGTCGTAATTGACTTCATCAACAAACATCAATCACAGGAGGTGTGAACTGAATGCAGGGGAGATGAACCACGAGTGCGTGATTGAGGCTCGGCTTTGATTTCTCTTGTTACCACTTAGAATCCCCACAGTCCACCTGTTGACATTTGTAAGTGTCTTTCACCCAACTATTACCTCTGCCAGAAGAGTGACGTGTTTTTGGCCCGTTTGTCTGCCTGTGATTGGCATGGCTTTAAGCCGAGGGAAAAATCTGAAGTGAAAATATTAGGGACCACATTTCACAAGCTGTTTGTTCTCCCACCCTGTTGGTCTATAGTTGAGATTTCTTCCCCTCCCACAACCCATTGGACATGTTAAGACAACTAACTGTAATTAACTAACCATGGGTTTGGGTGAGAGTGCTGATGATGTTTGTCTTTTATATGTGACTCTGTGATGGACTGCTGGACCAATGATGAAATTGGTCCCACCTTCCAATCCTCCCTGAAAAAGATGTAGCTTCAGGAGAGGAATGAAGGGATGACTGAATATTTTAAAACAGATTCAGTGGTTGCCTTTTCTACACCTTAACAAGACTTTGTCAGTAAGAAAACACACAACTTAGCGCATGAGTCATAACACGCATAAATTATGTTAAATGTTTACTGAATGAGGAGAGACAGGAAATCTGTCAGTGATGAACAATAAAAAAAACAACAACACTTGTTCCATCAAGGATTTTAGAGAAGTTCTTTAGCCTTTGAGATTCAAATACCCGTGCGTCATGAATGGTATTCAGCTTTTCACAGCTACTTACAGTATACACTGTACAGCAGTATCGCTTAATGTACTTAATGTGAAATTGTATTTCACACCGGGGATCTGTCCTCTAGTACACTCTAAAGACAAGTCCATATCAGCTGTCCACTGACTGTGTGAAGATGAGAGGGAATATTTAAATGAATACTAGTTACTCTGATCTTTTGAAGCCACTACTTTTGTAGTTACTAATTCAAAAGATGATGTGCATAGAAAATTAACTTGGAAATGTCCCAGGAGTTGATGATGTTGACCTCTGTGTCCCTAGATATTGTGTTTTGCGCCTGTCCTACAGCATGCATCCACAAATATAAAAAGATAAGATTTTTATTCACTTACCGATGTAGAAATTTGTGGCAGTCCTCATCTGCCTGTGTTTGGAAATGACATAAATAACCAAGGAATTGCCCACGAGTCCAACCAGCATAATAAGGGAGAAGAAGAGAGGCACCAGCCAGGCATCAGTGAGAAAGGGGTGCTTATCCCCGTCGTCCTCCACGTCACTGTCCACACGTCTTCCCAGAGATGAGTTTGTCACCTGCGAGCCATTGATCAAGACTTCCTCGGTGGAGTTCCACAGGTCGTCAGAGGCATGCATTCTGACACTTCTGTTGGAATGAGAGTGCAGATGGTGAGAGAATGAGTGCCACGAGAAGAGGGGTGTTAGTGACAAAGAATGAAAAGTAAGGGAGAGGGAGTGTGTATGCGTGCACTAAGCCACGTCTGCTCTAAAGCTGTGGAGGACGGAAGGATATTTCTTAAATGGATGGGAAAATAACGGAAGAAACAAAAGGGATAAAAAGATAAGACTTGAAAGACGGAGGAAAGTAGATTGAAGTGGAGTATCGAGGGGGCGTGTCTGTGAACGAGCCAGAACAATGTTCAAAGTTCACAGTCATAGGAAGTTAGGAGATAAAATGGCAACGTGGAGAAGTGGGTGAGATCCTGAGGTTTTACAGAGTGCTGTTCATTTCATTTGCTAAATTTCAGCCAAAGCAAGGTTGTAGAGAGAGAGAGAGAGAGAGAGACCTTTCACATGTGCTTTTGTCCAGAGAAGCCAGGAGAATAAAAGATGTGTCCTTCCGTCAAACTGCATGAAAATTGCTCTCTCTGTGTCACAACATCAGCCCTCAGCACTTTGAAGCACAATGGGTTTTTTCTGCAGCCCCAGGCAGCTAAAGGGATTTGTCATGAGGAGGATGAATGAGCGCTGGGAGGCACACAGATGTCGGCCACCAAATGTTTTGAAGTAAATCCATGGTGCTTGTGGCTTCCTTTTCTGGAGTTTGCGTTCACCCCTCTTTGTTGCTCTACTCGTAGTTTCATGCCTCTTTTAACCCCCGTTGCCTAATCTTCCGTCGCTGTGGAGGAAAGGAATGAAAGTCAGAGAAAACAGTCTTGTGTAGGAGGCAGTGTTCTCCTATAGCCTTGGCACAAACATGCTCTGCCAAAATGTTTTGTTGATTATTATCCACTGCTCTTTCTCCAGGCACAGCTGGGTTGATTGTGACTTACGCTTCAGCAGCAGCAGCAGCAGCAGCAGCAGCAGCAGCAGCAGCAGCAGCCCTGACTCCTCCCGGGAAGAGAGTAGGAGAGCAGAGGAGGTGCTGTCTGCTTTATAGTATGAGCGTGAGCAAGGACACCGTCGGAGTGGGAATCAGAGGTGTGCAAAGACGCAGGCACACACACACACACCCTGTGGATCTTAATTCACGGTGGCTGTAGCATGATTCTCAGCTACATAACTAATATATGGGGTATCCTAGCAACATTAGCCCTTTAGCCACCTCATTTTAAAGGACTTTTGTTTATTGTGTTTACAATTATAGTTTAAAATATCCAGATAAAAATAGGCAGCAATATATTAAAAAAGTAGTTTAATTGTACTGCTGCATTTCAGCACCACAGTACGGGACAGTTCCTTTCACACTGTATGAAATGCAATGCAGTTCCTTGAGCGATACATTATCGACACTTGAATTATTCCTAAATATTTATGTATCTATACAAGACATACACATGACACATAGGAGACAGAATTATTTGTAAGTTTGTTTCCAAAGAGTGAAGAGAAAATAAAGCAGTCAGGATTTACACATGTTTTAATGTATACTATATGTTGATAAGAGAACATAACCTGAAAAAGAACAGCTCACCACAAACTTTCTGAGAGTGACAATTAAGGAATAAAAAATATAATTTTCTTTATTCGAACTAATGTGTCACACCACTTCAAGAGCGTGATTCTCAAACAGTGTATTCACACATAAACAAAGGCAGTTATGTTCAAGTGGCAGTTATTTATTGTGACAATAATGACACAACACAATCATGGCTGAAGGGTACGATTCTTTAAAGGATCAAGTGGGAGTTCTATGCGTTGTTCAGTCCTTTGTGAATGATAACAACCCCGCTCTGTGAAAGACGATGCACAATAGCTACTCTGTATCCTAATTATGAGTAAGAATAATTATGCACTTGACAGTTTGACCAAAGTTTTTTATAATACCAGAAACCATCAGAACTGGTGTTAGGTACATTAGAAGAACAGAGTAATTTGATTTTAAGCAAATAGAATGAAGCACAGATAAAGAAGAAAAAGAAGAAGAAGAAGAAGAAGAAGGAGAAGAATGCAGATAAATCGTAGTCTGTCTTTAGATTTGATCCCCAAACCAAACTGACTTTACTGCCAAACTAATTAAAATTCCAGTGTCATTGCAAGCGTGCGTCACAATTTGCAACACATTGCTTTTTGTTTGATAGATGGCAGCATTCTGCAGTCTGTGTGCATTATAACTGATGTCTTGGACAAGTTTATCAGATTAACGTCAAACAGTGTGATTTGTCAGGAACTGAAATGTAAAAAAGAAAGTAAAGAAAAACCCACAGTCTGAGGAGGATCTGATCTGATCTGATCAATTGAATTTGTCTTTTAGAATTAAGCAAAAAACAAAATGTTGCACATTAGAAATAAAATATTCTACGAGGCAAAATGATAAAAAAACTAAAATAAATAAGAACAGAGATTGAGTAAAAGCAGCTGAAACATATTTGGGCCCAGTTGTTATAGTATAAACCACTGACAAGCACACAGGTAAATAATAATAATAATAATAATAATAATAATAATAATAATAATAATAATAATAATAATAATAATAATAATAATAATAATAATAATAATAATAATAATAATAATAATAATAATAATAATAATAATAATAATAATAATAATAATAATAATAATAATAATAATAATAATAATAATAATAGCAGCAGCAGCAGCAGCAGCAGCAGCAGCAGCAGCAGCAGCAGCAGCAGCAGCAGCAGCAGCCCTGACTCCTCCCGGGAAGAGAGTAGGAGAGCAGAGGAGGTGCTGTCTGCTTTATAGTATGAGCGTGAGCAAGGACACCGTCGGAGTGGGAATCAGAGGTGTGCAAAGACACAGGCACACACACACACACACCCTGTGGATCTTAATTCACGGTGGCTGTAGCATGATTCTCAGCTACATAACTAATATATGGGGTATCCTAGCAACATTAGCCCTTTAGCCACCTCATCTTAGAGGACTTTTGTTTATTGTGTTTACAATTATAGTTTAAAATATCCAGATAAAAATAGGCAGCAATATATAAAAAAAGTAGTTTAATTGTACTGCTGCATTTCAGCACCACAGTACGGGACAGTTCCTTTCACACTGTATGAAATGCAATGCAGTTCCTTGAGCGATACATTATCGACACTTGAATTATTCCTAAATATTTATGTATCTATACAAGACATACACATGACACATAGGAGACAGAATTATTTGTAAGTTTGTTTCCAAAGAGTGAAGAGAAAATAAAGCAGTCAGGATTTACACATGTTTTAATGTATACTATATGTTGATAAGAGAACATAACCTGAAAAAGAACAGCTCACCACAAACTTTCTGAGAGTGACAATTAAGGAATAAAAAAATATAATTTTCTTTATTCGAACTAATGTGTCACACCACTTCAAGAGCGTGATTCTCAAACAGTGTATTCACACATAAACAAAGGCAGTTATGTTCAAGTGGCAGTTATTTATTGTGACAATAATGACACAACACAATCATGGCTGAAGGGTACGATTCTTTAAAGGATCAAGTGGGAGTTCTATGCGTTGTTCAGTCCTTTGTGAATGATAACAACCCCACTCTGTGAAAGACGATGCACAATAGCTACTCTGTATCCTAATTATGAGTAAGAATAATTATGCACTTGACAGTTTGACCAAAGTTTTTTATAATACCAGAAACCATCAGAACTGGTGTTAGGTACATTAGAAGAACAGAGTAATTTGATTTTAAGCAAATAGAATGAAGCACAGATAAAGAAGAAAAAGAAGAAGAAGAAGAAGAAGAAGGAGAAGAATGCAGATAAATCGTAGTCTGTCTTTAGATTTGATCCCCAAACCAAACTGACTTTACTGCCAAACTAATTAAAATTCCAGTGTCATTGCAAGCGTGCGTCACAATTTGCAACACATTGCTTTTTGTTTGATAGATGGCAGCATTCTGCAGTCTGTGTGCATTATAACTGATGTCTTGGACAAGTTTATCAGATTAACGTCAAACAGTGTGATTTGTCAGGAACTGAAATGTAAAAAAGAAAGGAAAGAAAAACCCACAGTCTGAGGAGGATCTGATCTGATCTGATAAATTGAATTTGTCTTTTAGAATTAAGCAAAAAACAAAATGTTGCACATTAGAAATAAAATATTCTACGAGGCAAAATGATAAAAAAACTAAAATAAATAAGAACAGAGATTGAGTAAAAGCAGCTGAAACATATTTGGGCCCAGTTGTTATAGTATAAACCACTGACAAGCACACAGGTAAATAATAATAATAATAATAATAATAATAATAATAATAATAATAATAATAATAATAATAATAATAATAATAATAATAATAATAATAATAATAATAATAATAATAATAATAATAATAATAATAATAATAATAATAATAATAATAATAATAATAATAATAATAATAATAATAATAATAATATCTATTATTATTATTATTATTATTATTTCTGTTTTTTTAACCTAAAAATATTTTAGTTACTTCAGAAAGCTGAGTTTGAACACACCCTAAAGTAAACAGTGCTGGTTCAACTGGGATCAAATTAATGGCGTTTGTAGACAGTAAAAGCCAGGAACAGCCTGAATATATTGATCCCTGGTTTCAGTGTAGACCCAACGGGCTGTGATGACACAGCCTGGATGCTATTTGACATTTTCCAGATTAAAGGGCCTGAACTTTGGGAACTATCAATACACGTTGTAAAGAAACAAGTGGAAAAGGAGGGAGTAAACAGAGACAATGGAACTCCAAAACAACAGTGGAGAAGATGAGAAGAGGAGGGAGATGGAGGAGAGGTGAAGTTGTGCAGAAATAATGGGGCTGGAGTTTTCTGTGAATTGTTGCAGAGATGTTGATTGGTTTGTGAGTAGGAAACAGCAGCAGCACAAATACAGATTTAAACACAGAGGAACATTTAAACGTAATCATGCTCAGAATTAGTTCTGCGCAGAAAATTCTAATTACTATTTTTTTTCCTGTGTGTCATTATAACAACAACAACAAAAATGCATTTAACTAAGTCACCACATGGTCATGCAATGAGCAATGTTAGTATTTTTTGTTCCTAATTGTTTTGGTAAAACGTGCTTCATTAAATAAATGTTTCAGTGAGCAGCCGTCTTAGTGTTATATCTGGAATGTGGATTAAGTCTGTCGCTGTGCAGAAAGATCCCCCCACCAAGATCATTACCACAGGCTGCAGAAACAGGGGATACGCATCAGCACACTCATGTGTAAAAAACACCATGGCTATTCAATAAAAGAAAACCTGTCATTTGATTCTGCATTCATCACTGTGATGGTTGTTGAATAGCATCCAATCAATCATCGCTCACGTCTGCATGAGCCACGTGAGCATGTTTACAGCTCAGAAGGAGAAAATGGCTGAGACACTAAATGTCTCCAGAGGGAAACTAGCTTCATGTCCTTTCCCTGCAGCAAGAGTTTAACGATAATTAAACACCCTGGTCCATTATTTTATAAACTGGACATTTAGAGGAGAAAGCATGACCCTTGAGTAAATCAAGGGGAAGTCCAAAAGTTCTAAAACGTGTTAGGAAAACGTGTATATTCCAACAGGTTTTTAAACCATAAAAATGACATGGAAACTGGGTGAAATTATTAAAGCAAAATTATTCATATTTAAGGATCATATAAGATGTTGGGGTTTTTTTTTTTTCATTTTTTAGATGCTGTTGTTGTAGCATTTTCATTTTTTGAAGTTTATCTTTCTGCAGTGTCCTGTTGACAGCACCACATGCTTGCATGGTTTTTGTTTGGACTATTTGCATTGTTTTGGTACATATATTACACTGTAGTTATGGGAATTGACATACCTGCTGTGAAAAACAAGGTTATTCAGCAACAGCTCAGAACAGGAATAGTGAACAGGGGCTTTATTTTGCCTGGCGTTGTCCTTTCTCAGTCGGCTTCTTTC